CTAGTTTGATCTCTCGTAATGAATTCAGTCGAGAGACTTTATTCCCATCGAGAGATGGTTCACATTGCAAGCACGTGTTCACATCATCTTCAATAAACACACGCATACCCGAGGAGGATCTGTGATGTTGCTGAAAAATTCATATCTTTGAATCTTCTCCTTTATAATTCCCGATGACTGAACGCTTCATCGACATTTTGCCCAATAGCCGCACTCCTGAAGTCATTTCGGCTGCCATCCTGTGCGACTGGTGTTGCGCATGAGTCACTGTTCACTGAGTGAAGTTATAGACTGCTATGTTAGTTTCAGGCACTTGCTAGCTAGCCATATTGTATACTTGTCACCCGGAATTTAATCCATCCATTTTCCAAACCATAAACTCCAAATTCCAGCTAAAGCAATTAAAGTATAGAATTAACTTGTTATCAACTTCCTTATCAGTAGGTTAACTCGTCCACTGCCAGCCCATGTTAAAACAATGCACCTTTTGACTTCTACACCCGTCGATGGCAGTAAATGAGACAATCCCAAACAACACGGCTCTCCGTGCAGAGATCAATTGTTCCAACTCGCATGCTTTTTAGCATATTGAAAATGAACCGGCACTCTTCTTCTGTATCTGTAAAATGGTAGAAGTCCATTGAGTTTACAAGGTGTCATTGCCAACCTATGTTTAGGAGTGTAATTAGCAGGCAGTTGAGAATCACTGATCTCATTAAATGCCTTTCCTGTAATAGATTCCTGGTCCTCAACATCCCCTGTCTGTAGAAACACTCTCTTGCACAAGCGTCAGTCTCGACAAATATAACATGATACATTTCCGACAAACAATTTGTACGTGTGTGACATCAAAGGAAGTGGCAGCGGAAATGGCAGCGTTAGTGTGGGCGAGCGGCGTCCACCTACCCAATCACTCAAACCGCTGCTTTAACGAGACCTCAGTTAAAGACAGAGGTGCCGTTGCCATCGTGCTGCACATTTGGATCATAAAAGAAGGCAATTACTGACCTGGCGACAACCCCAATGCACAAATCCGACTTAATCCCGATAAAGTGACACGGCAAACGTCGCACAAAGTCAAATCCAATGGGGAAAATGTGAGAAAGAATCTTAATCTGCGAAGAAAAGGCAATGGATCTCGCAAGGTGCAATGAATATCACATCAGAGCTTTTAACAGAGCCTCACGTGTCTCATGAACAAAAAGTGCTTGCAAAAGACAAGGTGAAAGAAGAAACCGAGATTAACTAATAAACTAAATGGCAAGAGTTCCAATAAATGTAAAAAATCAGTCGATTAACCCTTAGAATAATTTACAAAACATAAATCTAAGCAGACAAGAGCAACTATGAACATGAGCAAAAGGTCTCAAAAATATCACTTGAGGCAAACCAGCGAACAAGGTCAATAATCCGACAGAGACCAAGACGCTTGGCAGTACTTATATACTTGACAAGGCTTGAATGGAAACAAGACACAGGTGCGCCACTGAAGAGGAATGCCCTCCACTCCCTCTGGTGATAAAACAAAAAAACACAGAGCTAAACCATGACAGGGTCAGCTATGCTTTTGTGTTTTATTGTTGGTCATGATGGTGATATTTGAGGAGCAAAGTTGTTTTTTTTTTGTTTGTTTAGGTGGCCACACAAACATGTGGCAGGGACAATGAACGCTAGGTTTCCAAACGCAACAAACAAGTTCAGCCAACTCAGCATTACTGCACACCATTATGACCACGCAGAACCGAACAGGTAAATACAACAATTAATTAAAAAAAACAAAACAAAAAAAAAAACACGAATGAATTACGTTTCTTTGACGGTTATGCTTTTTTTTTTCACAAAATCCTCAAGGCTCATGTAAACGGGGTCCACCAGCTGATCACTATCGCACGGCCTATACGTGCCGCCGGAACACAACATACAGAATGCACACATGCTGAGGCAAGCGTGGTCATGCTTTAAGTTCAAAATGTTCCCATTGGTTTGTACGCAAGCGCTAAACGCCTCTGTCTTGTTTCTGTACTTGCGCGTGCATGTGTGTGTGTGTGTGTGTGTGTGTGTGTGTGTGTGTGTGTGTGTGTGTGTGTGTGTGTGTGTGTGTGTGTGTGTGTGTGTGTGTGTTCACTGGCAAGTCAAGAGAAGCATTGTCTGCAGCTGCTGTATCCCCGCGACCCCACCGCTGCTCTGTGCAGCTGTGAGGAAATCAAACGCCCCCCCACCCCACCCCCCACCCTTTCTGTCACAACCTGCTGATGCCCAATGAGGTCACCGGTGGAGCCAAGTGACGACCCACTGACACTGACCCCCATTTAGAAACATGAGATCTTCTAAAATCACTTCTTTGCTGTGACTAGGTTAGCACTTCGGCTGGTCAGCCAAAGAAAAATAAACAGCGGGCAGAAACGCCAGCCTCAAAATGAAGGACTTTGTTGCTCCGTAACTGCATCAACAAAAATAACGCCATGTCCATCACATCAATCGTGGACATGTCACGTCACTTGTGGTGGACTGGTGTGCCACAAAACCGCCAAGTAAAAAGATGGAAAGTGTGATAAATATAGAAAATGGCAGCCGCTTAAAGAAAACAAAAACGATCCGCAATGGCTCAAATAGTTGTCATTCGAATAGAAACTCACTCACTGAAGACAACTAAACTCAACATCTAATTTCACTCACTCAGTCTGAAATGTTTATTTGTTTATGACAAATAATACATCTTAGTTCATCTATCTTTGCAAGCGACACATAGTGAGAAACAGATTAATTCAAATGCTTTTCCACTAGACGGCAAAAGTACAATCAACCTAACCTAATTCATGATTGTCTTTCGTCGTTTGCCGTAAGAAATAAATAAATGCCTGGCTCAATTAAGCACCTCCCCCCACCCCCACCCCATCCCAAATTAAACAGTAACTTTAATTCTTTTACTTTATACTCATGCTGTTCTGTCCATTCTGACATTAAAGAGTTTTAAAGCCGGTTGCTACCCAACCCAGCAGCACTTAAACAGTCCCTTAGATACCTAGACAGTAACAGAAAATCTTCAATGGCATAAAGGACCTCTCGATTCAGGATCCTCCAAAGGTTTGCGGTCATGCATCGAGCTGGTTCGCCCTGAACCAACCTCACAAGGAGAAAAGAAATGCATCAAATTTTATTCACTGATGAATGCTGTGTTACTTTGGATAGTCCAGATGGATGGAGTTCCGGATGCTTGATGGACGTGCCAAAAAGGCTGCAAAGTCAGCAAGGAGGTGGCCGAGTGATGTTGTAGGCTGACAAAGTGGAGTGAGATGGTTGGTATTTATGGGGTCTGGCAGTGTCAAAATGACCTGCAAAATTTATGGACTTCCGAACTGACCATTTCCTGAAGTGGTATAAAAAGAAGGCCCGTGACTTCTGCACAAAAGTAAATCCTGAGCTATCCCACTCTGCAAAATATACCATTGAAGCTTAGGCTGCTTTGGGTATGAAGCTATATGTGTACGGCATGTGTATAATGTATATGAGCGGGAGAGATTAAAAAAAAAATACTAATACATTAAAAATGGGGGGAGTTGTCATGGCTCACCTATTTTCTTGGTTTGGTTAAGAAACATGCGCGAACCGAGTCCTTTGGCACCGTGATGTCATATTCACTCGACGACAGGTGGCAAGGCAAAATGGCGGCCCCCTGAGCCTGATAAAAATGGGTGGATTTTTCTGCGAAATTCGTAATCCACAATGTTAACCATCTTGACTTTCCCTGTAAAGCTACGTTATGTGGTTGCTGCCTGTTGTCGTGCTCTTGGGGTCACACCCTAACACTTTCCCTGTAAAGCTACGTTATGTGGTTATTAAAACATGTCATTCGCTTTTGATTTTTAATTTGACAGTAAACATCAACAGGGTGCGGCAATAAACATTTTGAAGCCTCTTTTTGACAAATTGTTCTCTACAAATAATGGCCCACTAAAGGGTTAAACTGGGCCATTATGAAAACTAAGTGTATCAAATATTACGTCAACGTAGGCTCGCCAGTCCAGCCGCTTCACAGGCTTAATTTGATTTTTACTTGACTATAAAAACTTCTAACATAGCTGACAGCTCCTTGTTGGGACGAGACAAGCCACCACCGTTTGTTTTTAAACAGCTGCTGAGTTGGACACATCACCAATCGTATGTATGTTGTATTCCAACCTCACTCCCGCCTTTGATGACGCGCGCCGGGCTAAAGTTAAAGTTGCCGAGCGGCGGCGGCACGGCCGCAGCAGTTGTTGTGCAGCGACGCGGTTGCGCTAACTGCCGCCCGTAGACCGGCAATAACCACGTCCAAAGTTTTGACCGCAGTCCCCAGCCACAAACATGCAGAGCAGCTGCCGCGGCCTCCAATGGTGCATGATACGAGTGTGCACTGTTTGACCCTTTAAATGACTTGCAAAGTGTATAATGACAGATCGTCTCTGACCTCTACCTTCAGTGGACCGTGACTGTACTCGAAGAGTGAGCCACTTTTACAAAGCAAAACAGCATCCCGCAATCAGATCAGTGATTCCCACCCAGTGAAATCATCGGTTGTGGTGTGGGAAATCATTGGACTTCACTTAACTCTCATTCATATCACAGAATAAATCATGGCTGCCAGCTTTGTGTTCACCTAACTGAGGCTAGATCTTGTAGGCCCACTGTGTACGTAGATTTGTGAGTAACCTGAGATATTCATTATTTAAATCCAGTGGAAACTCAATTGAACAGTGGGGTCGTCCGTTAATAACGACTGTCCGTTAAATTGAAGTACTTCTACGACTAAAAACACTCAATACAGTACAAAATAAATTTTTGTATGCTTTTTATCGCCAAAAAATGCCCACTGCAGTACAAAATTATTGCAAATATAAAGAAGGTGTTTGAAAATGTGTAGTTTATCCAAATTGACCTCACTGATTCTTCCTTCCATTTTTGTGTGTTTTCCTCAGCAAAGTCTGAACGTTCCTTGAAGGGCAGGTTGATGATCCTCGGGGGAGCAAAATTGTCGTGAATGGCCAGAGGAAGAAGCCTTATGCATCGGCCCCTTTAAATCTCCGCGCCCCGCCCCCTCTCCCGGAGATCTCCCAGCCTCTTTTACTGCTCGTGCTCAGGCGGGCAACCAGAGCCGCTCTTCGGTTCATTCTTAATCGTTGTCGAACTCCCGTTATGGACCCGGACGGCTGGCCCTGAAACGACAACATTAATTTCTTTTATTGGGGTTGGGTGTTATTTCTTTATCTGACGGAGCTCGAATGGACGTCGCTGGGCTAGAGGAGTGGGAGGAAGAAGCCTCCGCGTCTTTGAGTAGCCTGCCCGGAGCGGAGTGGCATGTTGGATCCGAGCGTGTCGGCTGAGTGGAAGTGGAGGTGGCGGCCAGAGGATAAAAGTGAAGTTTAGCTTCGCGATTTCTTCTCATTCGCTCCTCCACCACAGTAAAGTCCCACCGGCGGGTTCCCACACACCGTTTCCCGATGAGAAGCCCTCGCCCGTGGGGAGGCTGCGCGATGGTGACCGTGACGATGAGTAAGAGCGCCGAGTGGCTGCAGGAGGAGCTGGAGTCCGGAGCCGCCGCGCTTCTGCTGCTCGACTGCCGGCCGCACGAACTCTACGAGTCGTCGCACATCGAGGCGGCCATCAACGTGGCCATCCCGGGCCTCATGCTGCGCAGGCTGAAGAAGGGCAACCTGCCCATACGCTCCATCATCCCCAACAACGAGGACAAGGAGAAGTTCGTCAAGCGCTGCAAAAGCGACGTGGTGCTGCTGTACGACGAGGCCGGCCCCGAGCGACTGGAGTCCGGGCTCGGGAGCTCCGTGCTGGGGCTGCTCCTGCAGAAGCTCCGGGATGACGGGTGCAAGGCTTTCTATCTGGAAGGTGAGTCTGGAAGTGCAACCACTGCTTGTTTATTGTCTGTTGTACTTAAAATAGCATTTACTTGATTTTGAATGCGATTTTTCCCCTTGAATTATGTCCGTAATTATTGCTTTGTCTACTTATTTAACACTAAATAACATTCAAGAGACCGTTTTTTGTGGCGTTTCAATATACTTACTGCACCTCTCCTGTCAATATGTCTGCATTTATTTTTATTAACTGACATGTTTCAACATGTAGCACAGTAAACAAGTGCTTAGGCCATCCGCCTAGTTCTGAGGTTGGGGGTTCGAATCCGGGCTCATGCCCTCCTGTGTGGAGTTTTCATGTGAATCCTCCGTCTGCTTTCCACATTCCAAAAGCATGCTTCTAAGGTTAATTGAGGACTCCCAATTGTCCATCGGTGTGAATGTGAGTTTGACTGGTTGTTTGTACATGATATCCCCTTTGATTGGTTGGCAACTGGTGTAGTGTGTACCACGCCTCTCACCCCTCTCTGCTGGGATAGGCTCCAGCTCACCTGCTACCTTTCTGAAGATAAAAATAGGTTGTTATGTATCTCCTGTATTATGTATTGATGTTTGTTTAATAGTCAGTGAATTTCTGAGCACCCTGTGTCATTGACTTTTTCAATGGCCGTTTATTAATGAAGAATTGAATCCACTCTCCAAATGTGTAGTCATTACATATTAGTCGCTTCATTGGATTGCTTAAGCAAGAATGCACCACACATAACTGCCTTATAACTTGGCGATAAAATCGCCTTTAAAATGTATTGCAGATTGTGCATTTTAACAGCCTATCCAAACATCAATGTGGGCCTAAATATGGTTCCAGTTAAATGCAGCGCAGCCTTGTTCTTTTTTAGTAAAGACAGGCTTCTTTTTTTCATGAATGAACACTGTAAACAAGTTTGCTCAATGATCTTGTGAAATATCCTCCAACAAAGAAACGCAGCTTATTTGAAGATAAGTGCATTGTGTAATTAATAATACCACATGAGCCGACTAGCAGATGTCTGAATGTGTGTGCATGCCCGTGTGTATGCGCCACTGGAGCCACAAGCTGCATGTGCCATTCACAAAAAGTCCGCTGAGCCGAGCGAGCATCCACTCTGCTTCTCTCAATGGAGTACATGTGTCCAGCTGTTTTCTTGTCTCACAGCTCTGGTAGGTAGTTGCGTAACCGCTAGGTCTTCTTTGCTCATTTTTAATTTTTTTTTTTTAAAGCAAAACATGAAATTCTGACTTTGAAACCATACCTGCATCATGCACCTCGATACCGATACTGAAAGAATTCAAATATTTAAAGTCATTGCAGTACACGGATGTGGGGGGGGAAAATGGAAATGACTAAATACGCCCCCGCTCACACGAAGTGCAAGGTGACTTTACATCACTGGAAGGGCTTTGTGAATCAATGAATAATCATGTGTATTAATCATGATTTCAATATCCATCAAAATAATCATGACTCATGTTTTTCTGTAACATTCCAGCCCAAGTCACTAGGACGTTTCTGTGGTAACATTAAAATTTAAAAAAAAAAAAAAAAGATTAAGGAGAAGCAAAACACTCGCGAAGTAAATCCTTTCCCATGAGGTAGAAATCATTCTATGCTTACCATCAAACGTCACCATTTCTTTCTAAACATTAATCTTGCCCCCCCCTCTCTCTCCCACAGGAGGTTTCAGTAAGTTCCAGTCGGAGTTCCCGGAACAGTGCGAGACCAATTTGGACTGCTCGTGCCCCAGCAGCTCCCCACCATCCTCTGTCCTCGGCCTGGGAGGCCTCCGCATAAGCTCCGACTGCTCGGACGGAGAGTCCGACCGCGAACCGGGCAGCGCCACCGAGTCTGAGGGCAGCCCGCTGCCCAGCAACCAGCCGGCATTCCCCGTCCAGATCCTGCCGTATTTGTACCTGGGCTGCGCCAAGGACTCGGCCAACCTGGACGTGCTCAGCAAGTACAACATCAAGTATATCCTCAACGTGACTCCCAACCTGCCCAACATGTTTGAACACGAAGGCGACTTCAAGTACAAACAGATCCCCATCTCTGATCACTGGAGCCAGAATCTCTCGCAGTTTTTCCCAGAGGCCATTTCGTTCATCGGTGAGTGTGGCTCACCTTTTGATGCAGCCGTTAGCTTTGTCATTCTAATCTGCTCAGTCAATGAATGATGAACATGACAACAATGAAAAATGGCATGCCTTTTTTACACCAAGACCAGACAAAGCAGACGATTACAGCAATCGTGTGCACTTTCACACGCGTTAATCAGCACCGGTGTCTGGGTCAAAGTAGGAGACGTGAGTGTCAAACTATCAAATAAACATACGGTGCAATTAGAATTAAACGTTTTTAATATATAATGCTTCACAAAAACAATGTGCCTTATGACCCCGTGCATCTTATGTATGAATTAAAAAAAACAAATTAATATTGCGCCTAATAATACGGTGCACCTAATCGTTCTTCAAATACGGCAGCCTCTTTTGTCAGATCGTCTGTGTTTCCACACCAACTTCTGTCAGCGGCGTCACACATGAGAAAATGATTGACGCATCCCTCGGTCACGTCTTCGGTCTCTGTTGTCGGTAATTTGTCAGTTCTCTTCACGCCTTTGCAAAGTTAAGAAACAAAAATTCCATTTCAAGGCCTAAGATGGGATCAGAAAGAGATGCTTTTCCACCCAAAACATATGAATGATATTCGACTGGCAGGTCCTACAGTTTGAACATGTATGACAAAACGTGTTTTTCTTGTTTGTTTGTTTTGAATCGTTCTAGACTTTAATCAGCAGTCAATACCGCACAACCAACCAATCAATCATTTCATAGAGATTGTTTCCATGTGTGACCACAATGTTTAAGTCACACAGTTATTCCGTATTGGCTGGCCCCAGTCATTCCACTTGACTTCAATCCCAAAAGGATGAGAGAATTCCCTCTCGGGTGAGTCACTGAGAGTGACCGAAAACCGTTTGCTGTTTGGCGTAAATTTGCTCCCGTTTGTTTATCGCCGTATTTGTGCTCTGTGAGAAGAGGGAATGCTGCTGCGTGAGGAAGCGCGACTTCTGCCAAAGCCTAGTGCTAATAATCACTGTTGGCACTCGCAGCGCATTCTTGTCAAAGCTTTCAGCTGCAAAAGGAGGCCAAGAAGTGATGTCGAAGTCAATGATGACATCGTCTTATTGGACTTGCGAGTCTGCTGTGGATGCTTTTAGCCAGCCGCATGACCATTTCCGGTTCCCTTCTTTTTCTTTTTTTTTTTAAGTGAGCAGACATCACACACAAATTGAATTTGGTGTCCACGGGAGGCGTCTGGAGGCAGCAATAAGAGAAGCTCGTCTAATGGCCTGAGCGACGCAAAGCCTCAGAGGGCCAGACAGATGCAGCTTGTTAATAATGTAACGGCAACGTACAGTTCATGTTTTGTCTTGAAGTACTATATCCCTGAAAGTAGTGGTGTGTTGTTGTTTTTATTTACCTTCCTGAGTTTGGAAATGCCTTTAAAATCATTTATCCATCTATTTTCTGTATTGCTTGTCGTCATTTGGAACATGGTTGAGCTGAAGCCAAGCCCAGTTGACTTTTGTACAAAAAAACAAAGCAATATAGATCATATTAATCTGATTCATCCATTTCAGACAAAATTGTGTTGAGAACAGTTTTAGTTTTACATCCGGAAGCCAGCGTGGAATAAATATAGTTGACTCATGGATAAATGAACATTTAACATCACATTTACCCTGACTGAAGACTGCATGGCATCATGGAAGATGGCGAGGATTGTCATACTTTGCTCCAAATTCTTTCTTGAGTCGTCGTCTCTCACCTTCTTTCGAAACGGCTGGCACTCTTAACTTTGTCGTATTGTGAAAAAGGGGTTCAGCAGACAGAATAGTTATTTCACAATTCAAGCTTCTTTTAATGCAACAACATTCCCGGTTTGCTTGGCAACACTCGGGCAAGTCGGAGCAACGTCGGCGTAACACATCCTGTCAAAATTCAGGCCTTCAAAATAAAAGCTTGCCAGTGTCGTAGCACAGTGGCACAAGTCTTTCTTTTGCTTTGCGTAAATGTAATTTTGCAGCTGATTTAAAAAAGAAAAACACATTTACTTTTTTTTCCTCACACATTAGATTTTTCAAATGTTTTAGTTTTTAAGTTTAACATATGAAAGGTTGGACAATACGGATGTAACTAGGCATTGTATTTTCAAGCTATGACGTTTCAGAGAAAAAAGTTACATGTTATTGTTACGATGATAACCTGATGTGCTAGAGAAATTTAATCTGATTTTTTTTTTTTTTTAAACAATTTTTTTTCCCACCCCCTGTGGAACCTCTTCGGCCATTCCATTCTGCAATTGCCTTCATCTTGTTTTTTTTCCCCCCTTCAGACGAGGCGCGCTCCAAAAAATGCGGCATCCTGGTGCATTGCCTGGCCGGCATCAGCCGCTCGGTGACCGTGACGGTGGCCTACCTGATGCAGAAGCTCAACCTGTCACTCAACGACGCCTACGACTTCGTCAAGCGGAAGAAGTCCAACATTTCACCCAACTTCAACTTCATGGGCCAGCTGCTGGACTTTGAGCGGACACTGGGACTGAACAGCCCGTGCGACAACCACGCCGCCTCGCCCACCAACGAGCAGCTCTTCTTCACCACGCCCACCAACCACAACGTGTTCCAACTCGACACGCTGGAGTCCACGTGAGGTCCGCACGGGAGTGCCACCCCTGTCTCTTTTGGGTTGAGGTGATCCGGTAACCACGGTAACCACGTGGTTGCGCTGTAGGCGCTAGCAGCCGCTTTGATGAATGTTTTAGCTCCGGGGAGCACGGGAAAGTCGAGGTCGCAGACGGCGCCTCGGAAGCGGCAAGTTTTTAAGAAAGCGAAGGACCGCTTTCATTAAGCCAAGGAGACTTCTTCATACAAAGATTTTTTTTTTTTTGGTGGGGGGGCGTGGGGACACAAAATGCGCCCCATTTGCCAGGTGACCTCCTCATAACCGCAGCATGTGGAGTCTTTGGAAAATGTCTCTACTGAATGTAGAGTTTTTAAAAACCAAGGAATTCACACACACACACACACACACATTTGTACTTATGTGCTGTTTGTATGTTATAGCAGGAAGAAATGTCTATATGCATTTTTTTTGGGTATATTTTTGTGTGCTTTTATGCACAAATCTAGTCAATGTATCTCTGTCTCTCATATATATATATATATATATATCATAATAATAGTAACTTTGTCCAAAAACAGTGAGATTGTAAAATGAAAGAAAGGGAAAAGCGGGGATGTCGTCTTTGGTGGTCCGATGCAGTTTGCACAGTTGTGTAGCCAATGGCTTAATGGCACTGACATGCAGCTACGAAAGAAACAACGGTGGCGAGGAGAGGCCGGTCCTGAGGTGATCTGCTAAAAGGACCAAAGCTTAGGCCTCCGTTTGACTTTTGACCAGCTTTCGTTCACATTTTGCTACATCCTTCCCAACGCCGTATAACCAGAAGTACCGGTTGTTTTGTTTTTTTCACAACTTCCTGCTTTGTGTTGTCGTGCCATAAGCGAGGCTTTGCCAAACCAGTTTTTCCAACGTCGCCGACTTTTTTTTGTACTTTGGAGTCAAAGAGGGTGGAAGGCAGCAGTTAGCTTATCTTGGCAACCTTTGGCAAAGAAGTGCCTCCTTTCTTGAATATGTACAAACCCCTTTTTACATAGCATGTTAAAGCCAGGTCTTACGTCTGGTTTGACACAGAAATGGGGGCGTGAAGCTTTGGGCGTTGTATTAGAGCCGTAACATGAGTCCACTTGGAAGTAGTATCGCAGTCATAACAGAGGTGGGTCAGTGCCTTTATGTTGGGGAAGACCATAACACCGTGTTACGGGAGTGACGTTTTAACACCCGACACTCACTCCCGTCTGCCCTGTTGTGTGAAACGCGATTTGTCCAACACATATTTTATACATCGGGCGAGACTCTGACATCATCTTTTTTGCTGGATGCTATTTCAAAGCGGGAACCGTGGCGTTGTGGGTTCTATGAGAGAAGCTTATGTTACAGCTCCAATGCGGCCATTTTGAGGCTCTTCTCGTGTCAATCTGAACTTGGGCAGGGAACAGGCCCACTGGTTTTCAATGAACATTTTCTCATTCACCTTTAAGCCTTGAGTGTATATTGGATATAAATACATACATATATATCGATATATTACAGCGTGAATAGTAACCAGATCTATATTGTTTTTTATACCTGAGCATGCTGCGATACTGTATGACTCAGCCACTAGTTGGATGTTGCTTTAAAAAAAAGAAACAAGGACTGTTGTTGTTAGTTTACTAAATGGAGGATTTTGACTGAGGTCAACTCCCGCTGCCAATTCAAGATGGACACACCACCCCCCGTTTTTTGTTTTTTTTTCCCCAGTAGCGGGAGCGAAGTGTGTAGCTTTTGCCCGAACGTGTGCTGAACCTCATGCAAGAACTTTGATTTTGTTTTGTTTTTAACATTTTTACCCTATTTGGTTCATTTAGATTTAGCATACGATACATGACTGGCTACATCTTAGCATATTGAGCGATGTTAGCTAAATTGGTAGCCGTCAAAATAGGGAGGGAAAAAATTATTAAATTGGTTAAATTCTAGATGTTATAACCGACTTAGCGTCATGTTTACTAAAGCAAATGAGTGGATTTTGAATGTAAAGGCTGAAAAAGAACAGCTTTCCATTTGTTCCAATGTTTCAATTTTGACATTACCACAGACTTTGGCACTCTGTTCTCTAGTGACATTAGCTAGTTTATCCACATGATGCTAGCTAAGAAAAAAAAGCAAATTTTTTTTTGATTGTAACAAATGCCCCCAAAATTCCAAACCTTCTGATTCCACTGCATTTTGTTAATGAAAATTACAACAGCAACTTTGTTGTAAGTTTCTTGCATGAGGTTCAGTGTCTGCAATCATAAACCGAACGAGTTGTGTTTAGCGGTCTGTTGTCAGCAGGGTTGGTCTCAGCTGGCCTTACGAACTCTTTCTAACACTGACTGTTGAAAATCTTTGTATCTCAATTTTAACAAGAACGCTGTGTAAGCAGAATGCAGTATTTTTTTTTTTTCCCCCCACTGCCACGGGTCACACATGGTTGTCTTTTTACTCTGCAGTACACTAGGACTCTTTCTGTGTGGGAAAAAAAAGAGACATCAAATGTGTCCTTTTGTACTGTATTGATGAAATCATAGGGTGTTTTATTGACGCATTTGCTTCATGGCCGCCGCTTGCCCCAATCTGATATATATATTTTTTTTGTAGTCTTGTCAATCGCAAAATTACCAAATGGCACTTGAGATTGGGCATAATTCTTGATAATTTCCATTGGCTCATTTATTCAAAGTAAGGATTTGGTCATTGACTAACCTTCACTATAATATAAGAAAACCTTTATTTGTCTCACAATGGAGAAACTCCCACTGGCAACATTATTGCTGTGGAAACAGGAGTTCAGAACTATTAAATCATATTGATAAACAAATTGATTGTTCAACCTTTACCCAATGAAGGAAATGTAATCTAATGGCCATCAAGGTCCAATTCTGTCTTGTTCAGTTTTAATGTGCTCTATGCTATTCCTGTGGCCTTTTAATGTTAATATATATACAATATAAATATATATTGAATATGTTATGACTTGATATGCAAATGTTGTTGTTCTACTACAGCACTAGAGTGGAAAATGAACCCCCCCCCTAAAAAAAACACTTAATGGTGTTGGACTCCATTTCAGTATGCAGCTTTCATTTTGTAAAACTTGTTTCCGAGCTGCTTTTCCTATGTGTTGTTTTCATTTCTTCTTTATTTTATTTTTTTTATATATGTATAACAATGAAAAAAAAAGTGCGGGGGGGGGCGGGGGGGACACACGTGCACGCTGCCACATCACGGGAACGGTCGTTTCTGTGTCCTTAACAACTTGTAGCCACATTTAGGTGTCAATGTGCTCAGGACGGGAGGGTACTATTCAATGATATAAAGTAAAAAGGTTATACGGGAGGGTACTATTCAATGATATAAAGTAAAAAGGAAAGTCAATGATTTAAAAAAAAATGGTTACCTCAATGAGGGAATTTTCAGGGATTTTTATTTGGGGACATGCATCGTGTTGCATTGAATGGCCTTTTTTTTTGGAATGGTCAATTTGTATTGTGCTGTTTTTAACACAACAAGCAAGTGTGTGGGCGAGGGAAGGAGGCAGGCCACGTTGGAAAAAAAAAAAACCACCATTGGCCCAATGTATTGTACTGTACAGTGTACTGAAACCACACCACACTTGTTATACTGTAATAAATATTGACATATTTTTTCTTTAGCATGCTGTTGCCCTCCATTCTTTACTCCTATCTGCTTATTGACGAGTTATTTACTCTAAAATATCACCAGTTAATGTCATCACCCCATGAGCCTAACATATCCTGCTACCTGTATGACACATCCGTTTTTTTTCCCCTGTATGAATTATTTTTCATTTGATTCGTGATAGAAACATTTCCCCCTACTCCAATACCAATAATAGTACAGTCTTGTTGTCTCATCTGTCATGAACTGGGAAGTAGCCTGCTGCTTGCTAAACTAACATCGGGATAAAGACGACTTAGTTGCACTGCACAGCTGCTTTTCTCTCTTTTCAAAAAAAAAAAAAAAAAACATTCTCCCACCTCACAGTAGAAAAAGTTTGCCACCTATCTTTATTAATCTTCCATAAACCAGGAAGTAGCCTGCTCCCGAGCAAACAAATTTATAGCACATTTTTTTTCTTCACAAATTTCTGTTAAATTTTTTTTTTTTTTTTTTTTAACGTTTGGGTCGTGATGCAACCATTTCCTCCACTCCAAAACATTTCTGTGTTCAATTATTCTCTATGAACTAGTAAGTAGCCTGCTGGTCAACAAAGTGAAAGTTCACGCATTCAATGTGCCACAGTCTTTCAGAACTTCAGAATTTTGGAGGGAGTCATGTTGGAAAGTTTTACCCCCACTCCAGAATCCAAAATGATACAGTCCTATCATCTTACATAATCAAACAGTCTGATAACTAGCAAAAAAGGGAAGTCTTGTCGCCCACCCATACGATGGAAGCTTTCTCCCATGCCAGGTTCAACAATGGTACAGTCCTTTCATCTTACATCATCTAGTAACCCGGTAACTAAAAAAAAAATCCAAGAAACGATTTTTTTCCATTTTTCTTAGATTTTTTAAAATAATTTTGTTTTGCTTTGTTTTCATTTGAGTCTTGGTAGTCCCATTGAATCATCAACAATGGTGCAGTTCATTTGTCTTAAACAACAAGTAGTCTTGTAGCTAATACACTGATGAACACAAATATGATACACCAACATTACTCCACTTTAGAATGTTTTTTTTTTCTTGAACGTTTGACTTGGGTTGGAGGCTTTTCCCCTTACTCCAGAATCAACAGTGGCACAGTCCTGTTGCCCGGTTTATTGTGACCAAACAGGAAGTAGTCTCCTCACGACAAACACAAACAAAAAATAAGCAACAAAAAAAAAAAACCAACCTAAGTCGCCGACGATGCACCACCATTTTCCCTACCTTTTCGTGTCTTGCATCATTCTCAATGAACCAGTAAATACTCTGCTAGCTAACAAATGAACAAACAAACAAAAAAATAAGTCTTCACCATTTGGGTCTGCATGGAACTGTCCCATGTCTACTACAGGAAATTGTAGAGTCCTGTCTGTCCTAAGGCATGGTTCCAGATTGGTGGCATTTTGCCTCTAAAATTTGAGACAATGCGAGTAAATGTTTCCAATCCATCTATTTGTGCATGTGCAACCAGTCAAAAAACATATTTTGTTGAATATTTGCTGTTGCTGACCAACTTCTATGCAATATTAATCCTAGTTAACATCAATTTAGTGAAAATGAGTGGAAATATGTATGTTTTACTTTGCAAGTCATTGTGTGCGTTCAAAAACATGCTCCGAAACGTGCTCTGCTTCACTTCGACCATTCGGAGACTCGGAGCATTGTTCAAATGTGCCGTTCGTTAATTCAGAGTGCCAAAAATAAATAAATAAAGAGTACCAGAACGTGCTCGAGCCGCTTCAACTGGGGACATGGAGCATCCAGAGTGTCACGCAGTACTGATGGAAGCAGTTCAAGCATAAGCTGCTGCTTGGTTTATAACAGACTAGACTAGCGCATAAAGGCCTTGACAAACAGAAATCAAAATTACGCTCTATATTTTCAGTGTGGTGACATATATTCACAACAGGAAATGAGGAAGAAGCTGCCAAGTTGTTGAGTCAGCAGTCCAACCCTAGACTCCTTTATTTAGTCACTGTTTGTCAACTTATTTCCTCTTTTTTACGAACATGTTTCACAACTCACCTAAAACGTTCTGGCCTTCACAAAGAAAAATATACTTTATTGTTTAAAAAAAAAAAAAAAGTGAATAATTGTGGTTGTAATTTGCAGTGGTGTGATATTAATTGTGGCTTCAAACTCTCTTTTAGATAATCAGATCACGGGGAGCCGAACAGGAAATGACTACGATCCCCACCATCCTGTTTACAGAGCGAAAAGGAGGATGAGATGATAATGACGGCTGACTGGTCGCTCACTGGTTACCTGGCAACGCGACGACAGGGTTTTCCCCCCCTGTTGCCATCACGCCTCATGTGACACAGGTAACGTCTCTGCTGCTTAATGCGAGATAATGAAAACCGGGAATTAATTACGCCACGGGAACAAGCGAGGCGCGATATCTCTGGGAGCTAATGTTGCTATAGAAGAAAAGGGTGGGTGATGTCAACGCAGAAATATGTGATGAAAACCATAGAACCGGAAATTTAACTTAACGCAATGAAGGAAATGTTTGGCGGATTGACCTTACAATCAAACATCAATTGCTTTGGCAAATTGATGCTAGTGCTAGCGCGTTAGCATCTCATCTTCAAATGTTGAGTAGTTTCACTTGGTTTTAATTTGAAAGTATTTACTTCTTGTTCAACTAGTAGGGAAGATAATAATCCTAAATGTGACTTAAAATATGGCCTATACAGTAAATAAAAAGTTAGTTTTAATTCACCTCACATGTCTAATCTAAGGGGAAGCAAGATTGAAAGTCAACCAGTGTCATCGTATTTCTTTGACTGTGTGTGCGTGTGTGAGCATGCGTGTGTCTGTGTGTGTGTTGAAACAGGCATTGCAACATTTATTGAGAATACCCTGAAAGAAAATGTGTGTTTTGTCAGTCAGAAAAAAAGGAAACGCAAAGAGGAACGTGTGTGTGTGTGTGTGTGTGTGGGGGGGGGGGGGGTTGGGGTAACCTTTACACACAGTAAAGTTGTAACACCTAAGTGACATTTTAAACGGCGACCATCATAAAACCTGTAATAACTATACAGGCTGTGCTTTTAAAATAATAACATTTTAGATTATTAACTGCCATGCAAGTGTAAAAAGAAGTTGTTCAATATTAATGGTACAACAAAAATTATACAGTGAGTCACACCGCATAAACACAACTTAATTAATTTAGTTCTTTTTTATTGAACATTATGAATGTAGACATATTTTACTTAGAAGCCAGCACAGAGCCACAAGTGTCGCATTTGTACAAAGCAATCAGTTTCAATGGTTATCGTCACACACACAAAAAAAAAGTCACAGTAAAAGCGCAACAAACACGCTTCTTTGATGTTCCTTGAACTGGTCTCTTTGAGGAAGACGAGGACTCAAGAGATGTAATCATCTTTGCCTTCCGTAATTTAAGTGTCACAAGAAAGTGTCACAAGAAAGCCAAAGAAAAAGCAAAAAGCACACCCAGAACTAACCTTTTGATGCAAACTGAACTGAGGTCTCGCAAGTGGTTCAAAAGCTTTGCGTAACTTCAGAGGTATGAAAATGAAAGTTAAGTAGAAAACAATTCAAATGAAGTTGGGATCTTGTGTTGCATGGAAACAGAGCACAGTTATTTAAATGATTTCAATTTGAGTAAATTAAAATGAAGCTGAAAATAAAAGTGAATGTAAACCAAATTAAAGTTAACCAAAAGAAAGAAAAGTAAATGCAAATAAAGTAAAATACATGAAATAAAAGTAAATAAATTAATAGATTGAAAGTAAACTGAACTAAAATGATTTAAATTTAAGTCAAGTAAAATTTGATTATTAAATAAAAATAAAAATAAATAAAGATCAAACACATTTAAACTGAAGTACCGTAAATAAAAATGAATAAAAATAGATCCGAAGAAAATACATTGAAATAAAAGCAAAAGAAAATAAAGTCAAAAGGGATTAAAACAAATAAAAGTCCATCAAAATGAAACAAAACAAATGTAAATAAAACGCATTAAAATAAATGAAAATTAAGTTTGAAAATTAATTTTTAAAAATGAAAGTAAATTCAAGTACATTAATTATTATAATACATTGAGAAAAACAAAAATTACATTAAACTAGAATAAAGTAAATACAAACTCATGGTGAATTTGATTTGCTCTGGATATTGCTGGTGTAAAAAATAATTTTGAATAATTTTTAATTTGTATCATAAAAAAAATTAAAAGTAAGTAAAAGTAAAATGTTTTTTTTAAGTAAATCAAAATAACATTTAGCTTAAGTTAAAGTCATTAGAAATGAAATAAATGACAATGACAAGTTATCTCAAAGCACATTTAAGTGACGGTTATGTTGCGGCAGTGGACTGAGAGCGTACTTGCACACAGTCCAGCTGAGCGACTGCAATCTTCATTCGGTATATGGTTACTTCCTGAGGTAAGTGGACACAGTATGCACACTATCCAAATGTACACTCCGGTGAACTTTGCCTCATTGACATCACATCTGACAAAACGAGCACGCTCATAAAAGGTGTGAACATAATGACACTATGGCCGGTCACAATACGTCCACGCCTGCGAGCGTCACTCGTACGACTTTTTTTATGGTGTCACACAGGAAGCGTATGGGTGTTACAGGCGTCATGTGACTGTTTGACTTTGACTTTGAGCCCTGGTGAGCAAACATACACTCACAGGGGCCTCTTATCTTGCTTGACCCTCTTGCCAGCCACTGTCTTGCTGGCCAAAGTTGGTCTTGCTTGATTGGCCATGTGAACAGAAACTTTGATTGAGCTTACAACAGGAGTTGCTGTACTTCCTTGTGCTTGACAAATAAACCCTATGACAAAATGATTAGGACATCAGAAGATGTGAAAATGAAAGAAAATCCGTTGTTCCTCCATTTTGGCCTCTTGTCACATCAGCTCTCCATAATAGTCCTTTTAATTGATCTTGAACTTCATCTTCGCTTCAAATACGGTGGATAGAAAAAGTCGATACACATCTGTTCAACTGCCGCTTTTTTTTTTTTTTTGGTGACAAAAATAAAATGTGATAAAGATAAGTCTTCAAATGTGCATCCCCTTGCGGATGTGGCTTTGTTCAGAATAAAATGAATACAGTCTCTGTGATGGATTTGAGACTCTGGCCTTTCAAGGCATACCTACTATGGACCTTGATTTGTGTCATGCCCGAACCACACTGTCTCTTTCCTTCCTTCCTTCCTGACCTCCTCCTTCCCCTCCTCTTTCTCCTCCTCCTCCCCTTATTGTTCTTTGGCGTACCGTTGCGGTAACATGATAGCAGAAAGAGGGTGCGATGCAGAAGCGGGTAATAAAGTGCGGCGCTCAACCTCTGAAAGGTTAAAAATTAGCATTGACATTTTATGGGTATAGCTAGCTAGCTAGCTATACCCACAAAATGCTATCTAGCTAGCTGAATAGCTAGCTAGATGGATGGATGTATGGATAGATAGATAGATAGATCTTACAGCGTAAAAACAGGTGCATCTTCTTTTGTGTAGTGGGGCATGTTTAATTTATCATTTGGAAAACCATGCTGTGCCATGCAGGGGGTTCTGGCACACCCAGTGTGTTTTCTTTTTCACTTTCTCGGCCCACCTGACAATTTGGTGACCGAAAGCAGACTAGACTTTAGACCAGGTGAAACCAGGTATAAGTCGATAAAAGAATTGGGGTGGAAGGCGGTCTCCCAGTGCGCACTTCACAGCAATGATCTGTGATCGCCCTGGTCAAGTTTACATCATCCAACCGTGGAGGTCTGTGTGCGCCTCCTTATAAATGTACTTTACTTCTGCTTGGACTCCACCAAGTCTATTTCTGCTCCCACAATGTCAAAGACTATGTGCGCCTCTCCTGCGCTGAACTTAAAGGGAATTAACGGAGCCGCTTTCATTGGCTAGAAAAAAAATTGGCTGTGTTCACTCCCACAACGCCACTTTCTACCTCCTCCTGTTTACGAAAATACCAAAAGATAGAAAATTCCACCCATGCGCAGTTAGACTGCACTTTGTGCTGGACTTGGTATGGGAACGAAAATAACGCCCTGAAACTTGAAGAAATAATGTGAACAACCCTAATCAGTTTTACCGTATTTATTCATATTTTATATGAAAAGATACGTGTACAAAGGCAGCACAGTGGACAAATGGAGAGCATGTCTGCCACACAGTTCAGCATTTGGACCTGTGCTTGCGTGGTTTTTTTTTTTCCCCCACCCTCTGGGTATGCTGGCTTTCTCCCATCTCCAAATGCATGAATGTGAGGTTCACTGCAAACTCTAAATTTGGCCATCGGAAAGGTTGCTTGTCTATATCTGCCCTGCGACGGGTCCTATGAGTAACCCACCTCTTACTCAAAGTCGGCTGGGATAGGCTCCAACTCGCCCGCGAATGAAGACAAGCATTACTGAAAATTTTTGGATGGATGAATGAAAAAAAAAGCAGTTTTACCTATGTAATATATAAAGACAATATAGACTGTATAATTTGATAAATACAGATGGAATCCTTGTCTGACATGAACTTAGCTAGCAGCACAACCTTTCTGACTTCCTCGGTTTTTTTTCTGGAATGCAAATGAATCAAATTGCTTCCTGGCACCTAGAGTATTTCCTCATGCAAAGCAAGAAAGTTGAACCATATGTCGCGCAAAATGATTACATGCGTAACGTCTGGGATGAAAGCACCGCCGTGGCGGCTGCGCCACATTGTTTCTTCGCTTGAGCGAGCTTCCCTGCTGACCACTGAGTGGAATCAACACACCGTCCGGTCGATGTGGGTTCGGTTCATCTAGGGTCAGCGTAGAGTTGACGCAAGGCTGATTATGCAAGTTGATGGGTCATCCAAGGGGGTCAGATAACACCGGCGGAACTTGCCCGAATGAACCGCACACAAGAGTGAAAAAAAGAATGAAAAAGATATCATTTTGTAGGATTAAAAAAAAAGATTTATTGTTGATTTGGACATCAAACTGGTAAGACTATTTCAACATTTCTTAAATAGGGGGTATGACAAATTAACATGTTCTTGTTTGTACAATATAGAAATGGTTGTGTCTCTGTGTGAAATTACACCACCAAGTAAATATGTTTAGCTATCTATGTGTATTAGAAGGATTTATACTTGGGGCTGACTTCACTTCCAATGGCAAATTATTCCATTTGCGTGCAGCATAACAGCTCAATGCCGCTTCACCAAGTTTACTTTGATTGCTGGGCTCCACTAATTGAACTGAGTCTGCAGACTTCAGAGTCTCTGTGTGAAATTACACCACCAAGTAAATATGTTTAGCTATCTGTGTATTAGAAGGATTTATACTTGGGGCTGACTTCACTTCCAATGGCAAATTATTCCATTTGTGTGCAGCATAACAGCTCAATGCCGCTTCACCATATTTACTTTGATCGCTGGGCTCCACTAATTGACCTGAGTCTGCAGACTTCAGCGCCTCACTGGGTTTATATTCCATTCGCATTTCCTTCATGTATTCAGGACCCAAACCATTCAGTGATTTATAGACCACTGGCGGAATTTTCAAATCAATTCTACGGAAGACTGGACGCCAGTGTCACATCTTCGTAGTTGCCATTTGCATAGTTGCAACCCGATTGGCGAAAACCAATCTCTGAGTTAGCCACAAAGTGGAGGAGAAGCCTTATTTGCATGTAACAGGACTGCCGCCTCAAAACTGGAGTCCACTAAAACTTACACAGTAAAAATAGTTTTGTTGCTCTCAATCCTTGGATTTATTTGCATGTAACAGGACTGCCGCCTCAAAACTGGACTCCACTAAAACTTACACAGTATCTAAATAGTTTTGTTGCTCTCGATCCTTGGATTTTGTTTTTCCCCACAAAAGAATCTCTCAAAAATATAAAGACGGCTGCAAACTGTTTCAAACTGAGAACAAAATGCACATCATGTCTAAAATGATGTGAAATAAATCTCTTGAACAAGCTATGCAAGAGTGCCTGAAAGCATAAAACCAACTCAAATTAATGAACAACAGACACCTTTAACCACAACGTACTTTAAGTTTCCTCCTCGCTGTTTGCACGCCTCACTTGCAAAACTGCTCTAAATAAACCATTTGATTGGCTGGGCCCGGTAGGAGAAGATCCGATACATTTCCTGTGTGCTCTCATAATGATCGCAAAAGTGTCGGGGTCAAAGTAAGAAATCCGTGCAGCCTCCCAAATGACATATTTCGTATACTACATAAAGAAAATAAACACATTTTCAATGAGCATCTGTTCTTGAGGCTATAATCACTCACACTCTTTATTTTTGCCACAGTTCAGCCCGTCCCGCTAAGCGTCACCACTATTCTACTTCTACTTCCTTCCTGTTGCCTTGGCAACGGTCCGGGATATCATCAGACAGATTGGGCTGCGAAAAGTATTTTTATCCCCATCTCGGTCCATCGCTCTGCCTCATGTAGCGACGAAGGGCCGCTGGTGTGTTCGGCAAGTTTTCACACCACATCTGGCTTAGCAAAAAAGTTGCCCCCCCCACCTGCCCCCGAAAAATAGTCAACAAAACAATGAAGAGACTTGCGAAAACATGATTTTTGTCAATAAACTTGCGAATTGATGACTTTTGTTACACCTCGACTTTACCTCAGTGAGCTTCCAATGAATAAACTAAAAGCACGTTTTGCCTTTTCTTTGGCCTTGATTGTTTTTTTTTTTCTTGTGATGTCATCACACTTCACATGTTATGGTCAAGAGTAGAACGGTAAAGAAAATGTTTTAAAATGCTCTCACATTTGTCCCAAAGCGGACCATTCAACACAATATCTGAGGGGATAGCAATGTGTGAATAGAGCACGGGAGCATCAAATAAATGTAAAGTAAGTACTGTCGAGGGTTTTAATAATACGCAGTCGCGCGTGCATCTCTGTCTTGGCTGCTAAGTGAAATATGGTCACCAATATCTTCCCCGCACTTGACGAGTTAAACGTGATTTATTGCGATGTATAGCATAGCCGGAATGAAACTCACGTCCCTGTCGTGGCTGCTCAGTAAAATACGATCACCATTTAGAATTATACTTATGTATTATGTATGTAAGAATAATCTTCCTTGTCCTTAAGGAGTCCATCCATCCATCCACCCATCCATTTTCTGATCGGCTTTTATCCTCACAAGGGTCGCGGGGCGTGCTGGAGCCTACCCCAGCCGTCTTTTGGGCAGTAGGCAGGGTACAGCCTGAATTGGTTGCCAGCCAATCGCAGGGCAACTTAAGGAGTCAAAAGTTAATTTGGGAACTCATGAAAGACTTCCGCTCAGTGAGCATATCAGGTATTATGCCTCTAAATATGTTTTCCTTTTTCCTTTTGCTTCCTATGTACGACGGAGGGGTAACCAGTGATGGCAAAGAGGAAAACTGAGGAAATGTGAGACATGTGACACATTTGATGTCCCTGGCTGCTCGGTACAATATGGCTCCGAGTGTCCATCTTCAAGTTGTAGAACGATCAAGGTCAGTTCCAGTTGTCTTGTTCGCAAATGATTTTGTGGATGATTTTAGAAACACCTCTCTAATGCTCTTCTTCCTTGCCCAAAGCCGTGGAAAGCCTTCTTCCACCTCCGGCCTAAATGTGAGCCAGCTTGCCAACTCTTTGTGCAAAGGCATGCGCTGGGATGCAATCGTGTTACGTAACTCGCCGAGATTCTCCTCAGAGGCGACTTGACACGTACGAATATGAGAATGCATATTAATGCAGATGCTTCCGCTGATTCCAATCTACATTTCAGATGCGTCCCTCTATGTCTCCACTGAATTGTCACGCAGGACGATCGTCCGGTTCCCTCATGTTACATCTTTCCCGCAGCCTCTCGAGATGTGCGTTATAACCCTTTTCAAATGAGTCACCTTGTCGAGGTTTAATGTACAGTAAGGACGACCCTGAGCCCAGTCCTTCACACGAGGCTGTTTATTCATAGAGCTTTTTTTTTTCTTCTTTTTTAAAATAGCTGCTCGGCTGAAGAGAAAGAAGCGTATCGTTGCGTAACTGCCACCCACACTCAGCTCAAATCACCCCCCCCATCCCCCCCAAAAAAGTCATGCAAAATGTAGATGGCTGAAATGCAACCAGGCATCACCATCCAAGTCCGTGCAGGAGAAGGGATCACGATCCAGGCTCTTAACTATCCTTGATACTTTTGAAGAGCTCAAAGGAAAAGACGTCTGTGGCTTTTCTTTCTGTTTTGTGTGGAGGACACGTCCGTGGTGGGCTTACGGTTAACCCTGGTGTTCTACCTCAAAGAGACTTAACCTGAACTAACTTTTCCTTCTTTCACTAATGCTAGAAAAATGTTGAACAACCGCGACCCCTTGGTGGTCTTTTGACTATTACTGCGACGGCCAGGAATGTGGATCACGTGACAAGTCTTTGGAGATGGCTTGAGGAACATCTTGTTTTAATCTATGAGAAACCGAAGAGTGTCTGAGGTCTGGTGAGATTTCAAAATAAGGGCTTGACTGTTGGAGGCCTTCTTGAAGCCTTAGGCCTTGATCATATTTGGTTTCTTTTGGGAGGTTTGGACTTTCGACTTCACTCTCAATGGATGTTTACCTCTCGATGACCATCTCCTCAAGATCCACCCGGTATTTTTGAGACTTCCCCCACCCCGAGAGTGTCCTCAGTCTGTCAAGAGGTCTCCTCCTGGTTGACCCAAAATGTCGAATGCCTTGGAAATGTTCGCTGCAATCTGCAAACTTTGTTGTTTTTGTGGTTAAAAAGAAAAGCAACATGACAGTCACGTGACACCAAGCCCTCAAGTTCAGCTACTCACCAGACAGTCGCCAGGAGAATGAAAGTCACTGACCTCCAAGGTAAGTGAATCCCTCCGCATCACCCGCATTCATACAAGCGAACAGATACTGGACTGGGAGCAGAGTCTAAAAAAAGGGTTTCAATCCCTCCATTTTGGTCTCTAACCAAGCACTCTGATTGCCTTCTCAGATTCGTGAGCAGCCTCTCGAGATGTGCGTTATAACCCTTTTCAAATGAGTCACCTTGTCGAGGTTTAATGTACAGTAAGGACGACCCTGAGCCCAGTCCTTCACACGAGGCTGTTTATTCATAGAGCTTTTTTTTTTTTCTTCTTTTTTAAAATAGCTGCTCGGCTGAAGAGAAAGAAGCGTATCGTTGCGTAACTGCCACCCACACTCAGCTCAAATCACCCCCCCCCATCCCCCCCAAAAAAGTCATGCAAAATGTAGATGGCTGAAATGCAACCAGGCATCACCATCCAAGTCCGTGCAGGAGAAGGGATCACGATCCAGGCTCTTAACTATCCTTGATACTTTTGAAGAGCTCAAAGGAAAAGACGTCTGTGGCTTTTCTTTCTGTTTTGTGTGGAGGACACGTCCGTGGTGGGCTTACGGTTAACCCTGGTGTTCTACCTCAAAGAGACTTAACCTGAACTAACTTTTCCTTCTTTCACTAATGCTAGAAAAATGTTGAACAACCGCGACCCCTTGGTGGTCTTTTGACTATTACTGCGACGGCCAGGAATGTGGATCACGTGACAAGTCTTTGGAGATGGCTTGAGGAACATCTTGTTTTAATCTATGAGAAACCGAAGAGTGTCTGAGGTCTGGTGAGATTTCAAAATAAGGGCTTGACTGTTGGAGGCCTTCTTGAAGCCTTAGGCCTTGATCATATTTGGTTTCTTTTGGGAGGTTTGGACTTTCGACTTCACTCTCAATGGATGTTTACCTCTCGATGACCATCTCCTCAAGATCCACCCGGTATTTTTGAGACTTCCCCCACCCCGAGAGTGTCCTCAGTCTGTCAAGAGGTCTCCTCCTGGTTGACCCAAAATGTCGAATGCCTTGGAAATGTTCGCAGAGTCTAAAAAAAGGGTTTCAATCCCTCCATTTTGGTCTCTAACCAAGCACTCTGATTGCCTTCTCAGATTCGTGAGGACATCCACTGACGTTACAAATGTCACAGCATCATGAGGTTGGTAAATCTCTCAGTCCCACTTCCGTCCGGAAATACCACAGACATCATGTTATGTTTGTAATGTTAACGTAGATGTAGTCTGATTATTTATTTATTTATTTTTAATAAAACCATAATGTTTTATATGCTCAAAATATAAAAAATAATGCAACACCTTACACTCGGCTTTTTTTTTGTTTGCAGCCTCAATGAAATTAGCCTGTGTTGAGGACGTAATACTGTTGTCATGCAAATGAGGCACTGCTCACACCGCCACCCACGATTGCAGGGCCGTTGCTGCGTATGGCTTTTATGATCATGATGTCTCGGAGCACCGCCATACTCTACTGAAGCAAGTATGAGCTTGAAGCTTTGCCCAAGCCCTAACCATAACCACAAAGTTCGCCTTCAACCCAACCTTAACCCCTAATTCCAAATCTCATACTCCTTACCCTCCACTTTATCCGCAATTTTAAGACCAACCGTAACAGGAACTCTAACCCCTAACCTTAACCCCAACCAATATCCCAAAACCCCATAAAGAAAATCAAATGGTGACTTTTATTTTCACTAAGCAAGGCAGTCCTCTCCCACCAAGCAGCCAAATTTCACGTGTCAAATAGGATCCATGTACGTGGTGCATGTAGTGGACACACTGCCAAACACAACTACAACAATGACCACATTCACAGAAAAAAAAAAAAAAAAAAACTCGCGTCGTAATCATTTCCACTTATGTGGAGTCAAACGTAGTGTCGACTGCATGTCAAGGACTTAATTACACGCAACCGAATCAGCAGGGATCATAGCTTGCCATAATCACCAATGTTCTAAGCACATTGACATCTCATTAGCGTGTCACCGGGTGTTCTCATTGAATTCATGCACTAATACTGTGCCTGATTTCTTTTCGTGCTCCTCACTTACCCCTAAATAGCCCCCCACCCCCTACTCCCCCGCAACCTCTGCAACCCTCACCACCGGATGCTTTGCCACTGTCCGTCTCACCTCATTACAGTCCATTATCAACGGGGAGACCACAGATGCAGAATCTGGAATGTCAACAAGCAGGAGATACATGATAGCGTGTGTGAATGTGTTTGTGCGTGTGTGTGCATGCGTGTGTGTGTGTGTGTGTGTGTGTGTGTGTGTGTGTGTGTGTGCGTGTGTGTGTGTGTTTGTGTGTGTGTGTGTGTGCGTGTGTGTGTGTGTGTGTGTGTGTGTGTGTGTGTGTGTGTGTGTGTGTGTGTGTGTGTGTGTGCGTATGTGTGTGTTTGTGTGCCCGTCTGCGTGCACGCTGGTAAACTTAATGAGCAGCAACACATCTACAAATCCCATGGCCAGTCTGTGTCTGTGCTGCTTAATGGCAAATGTATTCCCAGTTTCACAGAGTGGCTAATCTAATATATATATATATATATATATATAATATATATATTAATGATATGTTGGGTGCCAAAACGATTCATGAACGGATCGATTTGAAAGTGAAACGATTCATGTTGGTTCTCCGACTGAGTGGGATTACGATTTGATTTGCGAAGGCTCAGTTAGAGAGGGTATGATGTAAGGACTTTTTTTTTGTTGTCATTTTACATTCATTTGAATGAACTTGTCAGTAATGTAAATGTGCCAATAAAAGACGAGGTTCAAAACGGAAAAAAAATATTTGGTGTCAGAATCGGCGGTGTCACCAGTCGCCAATGAGAAATTCAAATCGTAATGCTGCTACTTGCCGTGTCAAACAAACAGATAATACCCTGGGAATGATGTCTTTCTTTCCCCAAACGCTCACCGAAAGCTCCATCAGCTCGACTTAAACAGAAGCCAAACAGTACAAGTTCTTCATTATCTGTCACTCGCTTCTGCTTTCCCCCCAATTTAACAATTTCTGTGTCATCACATCCCAGCCGTGTTCTTTCTCATGTCCTTATGCAAGCCCATGAGTCCCTGGATACTGTTTTTTTTTTTTCTCCAAATTGCGATATGCTTCTTGTCTACTATTACAACATTTGCCACTTCCTCATCTCTCCCCCGCCGCCAGGATGTTGAGAGAGGCTCAGCTCAGTTTCGACACTAACACCATCAGTGTTCAGATTGGAAAGAAAATATGTGACAGAAAGAGCGAAAAGGCAAACGCTTTTCAACATGAAACCTGACACATAATCCGAGACAGAGTGGTCTTCTGTGGGAAAGTCTCGGCCCGTCCTTGGCCCCCCGAGTGACAGATCCCGTCATTTGATCTCGGGCCGACACATTCCCCTCGTATCAGACGACTCGGATGTCCATGTCCGCTTCCTGAACCTCTCATACACACGCATGAAGAAACTACACACTTAAGGTATTCCTAACAATGTATACCTGTAAATGCCTCCTATGGAGTTAGTAAATGGTAACCACAATAATCTTAGAAATAAAGGCAAGAAAAAAAAAAAAAAGAACAAAATTTGAAATAGGATTACAGATGAAGGGATCCCCTTTTCAGGCTGACCAGGTTGTCATGGATGCCGAGTGAGCAACATTTGTTATCTGATTATATGCTGTTTGTTAAAACAACATGAAAGTTCATTCAATGAAATGAAGCGCGGGGAAGTTTTTCTCCCTGTCAATCAAGGCAGAATCCTCGACGGCAATGCATCCTGAGAAACGGTCTTCCTCAGATCTTGCCTCGATTGATCGCAGCAGAATCCTTCCAGCAGCAGCCGCTCTTCGATCATTGCCACGGAGCCCCACCTCTGAGCAGGAGAGGACGGGGCAGTAGACAGGAGAAGCGGCAGTAAAACAGGCCAAAATCCAAATGTCAGAAGCTGAGGCAGGGCCTAGAATGAGAATGTACAATCCTAACCCTCATCGTAGTCCGAACCCCATCGTGTCACGTCTCGAAATGAATGGGTTGAACACACCCAAATTAACGCGGGACATGAAACTCAGACCGTTTAAAACCTGTGGGGAGTGGATTTGGAATTGCCTGCCTCGAACTGAACTCAACTCCTTCCCCCAAACCAAATACCTATCCTATCTGCCACTGGGAAAAAGATTGAAAGTACACCCAGAGAGCGTTCAATCAAAAACAATGCTTGTGCAATCTGTCGATAGATGCAGACAATTGTTTTGGACAACCCTGAACATGGCGGACACCCGATACCCAAACCATACTCTCCCCTTCTGTCCATGTTTGTTCTCTGGCAGCTGCCTGCCATATCAAGTTGCGGCACCCAACCTGAAAATAGATGATACAGCCATTAGCGTCCAACCTACTCCCCACCGAGCTTCCTGTCAAGCTAACGATAGCCGTCTCATGCTTCACAGCAACCAGACGAGGATGAGTTTGTGGTCCTCAAGTGTGAGCCTCATTGATAGCAAACAAACAAACATTCTTGTGCATTTTTCACACTGTTATTAGGCCACGGATTCCTCAGATCAGCGCCAAATTTCAGCTACGTGGACATTTGTCGTGGCCATTGAGTCACGTATTCTTTCATGGTCATCTAGCATGCAGAGATTACAAAACTGTTTATCATTTTGACCTTTGAGAAATGAGATTTGGGAGTATGGAATACAAGGCGTGTCAATGACTCATCAAGGGAACGGGATGATCCACCCATTGATATGTTAACAAACTATCTGATTTCATGACGTATGAACAAGCAACTCAACCGCGGGAGAAGAATAACATGCTTTTTTTTTTTCCCATTTTCTGACATGTGTCAGGACATTAGTTATATAGGCCACTAAAGTAGGTGAGCCAGGGTCGCCATAGCAATGACCGTTGCTATTCTTGGAATGACAAGCTAGTGTACAGGTATACCATCGCATCACCGTGTACTCATTGCATTAAGGTCAGATAATCACATCTTGCTTGCAATGACATGGTGAAATCGGTCATTGATATGAACGTAAAACACAAAGTTGGGACTATGTACTGTATTTTATTTTTTTGAACCATGCTTTCAGGGACAGCGGTTACTACGGACATCTTATCAGGTTTTCAGGTTATCATTATAGGTGCATGAAAGGGTTAATGTAACTGTGAGGAGAGAGTGTATTAATGTGGATATTCATGAGAAGCTTTTACTTATCAACTGTCATTATTGGCTGAAATATTCATTTTTAACAGGGAGGGCTGACAGTGGATAAGGTTAACAGTGCTGAAATCATTCGCTTTCACGGGGTCTGTCTCAGGCAAATCCAGAGTATGGGGCATTGCCATGACAACCAGGGTGGCGCCTAGGCGGCTACTTCCTGGATTTTTTGCAATTCGTAGCGACTTTTCGTACCCCTTTGGTGACTGTTTTTTTTTTTTTAAAGTGATGAACAACAACCGAGCAATTATTTGTTTTGGGAGTCTTCTGATCCCCTTTAAATTGTCAAGTTTACTACAGTGTTGACATTGTGTCATGGTTTAGGACAAAATTAACCAGCGTCAGCGAGTTCTCTACATGACTGATTTGTAAGAAAAACATGAAAAACGGTGGAGTCTGACTTGTCCGGGTGACTCAAACTCTGCTGTCCATGAAAATGAGGCTCTCGACCCAGTGAGTAGGTGTTCATTGGGCCTATTTCGGGACGGAGTGCCGACAGACAAGCTTGAGTATTTCCTGCCCCCCCCCCCACCACCACCACACACACACACACACACACACACACACACACACACACACACACACACACACACACACACACACATGCATGTACATTTACACACAACATCACGATAAGGTTCTGTCACTATGGCAACTGGGGCACGGTGATAACCACTTGGGTTTGCATGCGTCTGTGTTTGTGTGTGTGACAGCAATGTTGGGATTAACCTCTTTGGATAAGCAGTGGCATCTCCTCGCCGGGAGTCTGAGGGAAAGATAGTGGAGGGGTTTTCACCGCTGGATGCTTTTGATCCCCTGCGTAAAAGATGAAGAGTGGCGGCATCTGCCAGCCTCGCAATCCAGAGTTGACCCCCCGAGGTGAACAAGGCTCCACCAAGTGTTTGTTCCACACCAGGCTTTCCCCTATGTGAAATAAAGTGGAGTTGTGATTGGCTGGTGACCAGTCCAGGTTGTTCACGGCCTCTCTCCCATACTCAGCTGGCAGAGGCTCGAGCTCACTCATGACCCTTTTGAGGACAAGTGTTATGGGAAAGGGATGGAGAGAATAAACTAGAGTAGTGGAATGTGATGTTGCTCCATTAATTCAGACCAATTTTCCTTAGGTTAAATGTACAGACAACAATTTAAGAAACACTTGTATTATGAAGTACCTCAATGAAAATGGAATGCACAGTAAAACTATTCACGCTTTAAATATGGTTGAACAAGAGAGGGTCTATCTATCTATCTATCTAGCTAGCTAACTAGCTAGCTACATACATCCATGTTTGTCTGTGTGTGTACATATACAGTATATGTTTTCTCATATCTTCTTATCTCTTTCCAACCACTGCTGATTTATTTATTTAGCTTATTTTCAACCTGTTAAAGCCATATCTTACTGAGCGGCCGGAAAAAAGATATGCTAAGTACGATTACCTTTTTGGTTTTGCCAATGTTAACATAGAGCGTGACATAAATCGGCGTAATGATCCACTCACTCTTCATTAGTTTAGACCCGGACCATCATCCCGGAATGAACTAGCGGATATGGTTAATGATTCATGGTCGAGGTTCGCTTGTGGTTCTTGGCAGAAGCCCTCAATGATGATGTCATGCTTGAGCGTA